GAGTGTGCGCAGGCACGGAGGCGAGAAAACCACGTGTTGAAGGCGACCCCCTCCGTAGCGAAACTGCGGCAAACTTGAAAACCGAATGTGGGCGACGCTAGAAAGATGACAGCATGTTAAAAGCGGCCCCCCTCCATCCGCAAAGCTGCTGCAAACTTCTAGTGGCGGCGCTGAGACGGAAACCACAATTTCAAGACAGCCCACCCTCGATCCGTGAAACTGCTGCGAAATGCAAGCTTCAAGACCATACATTGCGCGGAAGTCTCCAGCGGAACGCCCGGCCCGGCCTACCGATGCGCCTGAGGGGGTGCGAAAGGGAGGCTTGCAAGGAAAAGTGATGGATGAGGAGGGGGAGATGGGGAGAACAGGGAGAGAGAGCTGCGGATGGGAGCCCAGGGGGGTGGCGAGGGGAAGGGGGGGGGGAAAGCTGGGGCAAGCGCGGATGAGAGGGGAGAGAAGGGGAGGCGAGGAGGGCCGTGGTGGTGCAGGATGGGGGTGAAGGCCCGAGGTTTCAAAAATCGCCGCACCGTCGGGAGGAGGAGGAGGAGGAGGAGGAGGAGGAGGCGGGAGCAAGAACACGAGCGAAAGGATCAACTACACGCAAGAGCGGCCCTGAGCAAGAGGGATCTTTGTTGGCGCACCTTTCGTCATCGATACAACTCGGGTCGTGGGAGCGAGCGGACTTCCATTTAGAAAAGTATGCTCCACACTGAGTCAACATGTTTTGTGTTTAACTAATGTTTTTCTGCATTTAGGAACTGCTCTTCTGCCTTGTTTTCATTCGCCAGGGTAGCTCAGCAAATCCGGTTCTCGTTTTGCTAAGACGTAATAGTTGGCATGGCTGTGTTTAGTTAACATACGTATTCAATCATTACCATTCAGTGCGTTGGTCAGTGACTCGGGGGGGGCGCCAGGGGGCCAAACCCAAGCGCGCAAGCCGCTGCTACCGCACCACATTCGGCGATCGGGGCACCCCAGTAGGCCCGCACCAAAAGCCACTCCAGCGGAAAATCGCTCAAATGCGGCGTCGAGACGAGTCGGAATCAGGAATAGAGGGCAAACAAGAATACGTAAAGTGAGCGTTTTTCTTTTTTTATTCGGCGTTTCGGCATTGGGCGGAAAGGGGGGGTGTCTGCTTCTGGACCTCTGTTTAGTGCGACTGCTTGCGACAGTGCGTCCTATGGGGGAGGGGCTCCACCTGCTCGAAACAGGCGCCCAAAACAGCCAAGATCCGCTCCAGAGGGGGGGGGGGGAGGTTTTTTTGGGGGGGCCCGCGCCGATCGGCAAAACAATGGATGAAAACACGATCACAAACATGAGCTGCTGGAGCTCCGCGCCGAATTCTTGCGTCGGCACTGCACCCTCCTCCCTGGCGCGCGCAGCGCGCCTATAGGGTAGCGCCAGAGGCGCCGCCACGGGAGCTCAGCGCCGATCCAAGAAATCCGCGCGGACCCCGGAATATTGTGTTTATGCCGTTCTTTCGTTCGAGAGTCAAGTCGGGCTTGTCCCGCTACGAGCGGTTTTTTGGGCGAGAACTGTGGAATAGGCCCACTATGTCAAAACATAGCCAAGAATAGTCAAAAAAACACGTCCCCTGTCTATCATCGGACTATGTTTCAACATCCCTCCTGTAGAGGAACAGGCCCGACTTAACTCGAGAGGGGGAGGAGGAAGAGGAGAAAGAGGAAGAGGAAAAAAAGTGCCGCCAATATCTCGGCCAGACTTTCCTCGACTTCGAAAGCCCGCGCGGCCTGATCGGCGCCATCTTGCCCGAAGTGTGCCGCGACACCGGGGTCTCCAGCACTGGCGGCTCCAGGGCGTCGGCCAGAAGCACCGTGTTCGGGACGTCGAAACCAGACCTGCTCCCCTCGTAGTCCGCGCGTCGCGGCAATAATCGTGGCGACATTTTTGTTTTCATTTTCGCCGCCACCTTCTGCCCTCGGCTACCCCCCCAACCTGTGTTCGCCACCAGTGCCACCGCGCGTGACCGTGCCAACCGCCGCTGTCAAAACAAAATCAATTTTTCTGGCCTCTGGAAGCCTTGTGCAGGCCATCGGAAACTCAAACACAAAAACGCAAGAAAAGGAGCCGGCCCCACAAATGCGTCGAACCCCCGGGCGCCCACGACACGAAACAACTACAACAAATTCGTTCGGAAATGATTTGACTCGCGCGGGTCTTGCAACTTTAACAGAACACTCGCGACCAACAGAAGGCTCTGTTTTAAAGTAGGCGGTCAGCGCCGCAAGTACACACACACACACCGCCTCACGGCGGATATAGTTCTTGAGCCAAACGTCAGCAGTTGCACAGCAAGCTGGCGACCTACATTGAAACAGCCCCCTCGCCCTGGCGGTCCAGTCAGGGTCGGCTACGCACAACCTCATACAAATTGCACCTTGCAGGTGAAAGCTGGAGTTCACTCGACAGGACAAAAGCGGCCATGCATGGATTGATTTGGCGAGTGGTCAGGATGCAATCAAACATTGTGCACTGCGTGGTCAGTCCTGAGCAGGTTAGCGCGCCCAGATGACAACACAATCGCTAAAAACTCTGGGCAACGCAAAAGGTTACAAGAACTATGGCGGGATACCCGCAACATTTTCACGTGTCGCAGCTGCCCTGTCATAAGCATTCAGTTGGAACGACCTGGGTTCATCACGCGGCAGACGTTGGAGAGAAAGGAAACAGGAAACTCATCAAAGGCTAAGTGTCACTGAGGGCCTCCTGGGCCTCACCCCCGTTTCCCTTCATCCTGGGCCTTGCCCACCTCGATGCGCGCGAACTCCATGTCGCGGTTTCCCTTTCCCAGCGCACATGCGCGCCATCGCGTCGCGCCGCCCGTAACAGTTGTCCTTCCAGACGTGATCCTCCTCCTCGCTGTCGGCCCAAGCCCCCAGGTACTCGACCGCGTTAGTTAGTCTTGGGCTTCTTCCTGGCTGACTGGTCGATTACCACGTTGGACCTTCCGACGGTCTTCGAATAGGTTAAATCTAGGTGCTTGACACTTGGCGTAGCCCACCTCAGGTTGCGGCTCTCGCGTCTGCACGCGTAGGCTATACCCGCGCGCGGGTGGACGGCCCAAACCTGGTTGATGGCCCATGGGTGGTAATCACCCGGACGCGTCTGGGCCTGCCGTAGGATCTGCGCGCCCAGCCGGTTCCCGCGCTGGAGGGGATAGTGCCGGAGCCAATCTCCACCCCATCGGTCTCGTTATGCGGGCTCTGTGGAGAACTTCGGACTTACCATCGCGACCGCCGAGAATTTCCAGGCAGTGGCACTTAGTGGTTGCTAGCGGCCTGTAGCAGCCGTTTAACAGCACTCAGTGGTACGCAGTGGCCTTTAGCGGCCCCAAAAATTACCATTTAGTGGCACCTAGCGGCCGCTACTGGCTCCGAGAAGTACCATTTAGTGGCACCCAAATGGCCGCTAGCGGCTCAAAGAATTACCACTTAGTTGCACTTAGTGGACGTTAGTGGCTCCGAGACCTACAATGCCACCCAGCGTCACTTAGCAGCCCGAGATGCACCGTTCAGCGGCACTTAGCGGCCGCTAGCGGTTCCGAAAACTACAACTTAGCAGCACTTAGTGGCCGCTGGTGGTCCCGAGAATTACCATTTAGTGGCAACTAGTGCCCGCGCAGCCCCATCTGGGCCACGGGCATGTAAACCAGGGCTCGGGGTCGCCGACCTTCGCGAAACCACGGGCGCGCGAGTGAGACGCCGGCCCCATCGGGGCCGCAAGCGCACGCGCCGCCATGCGCCGCCAAGCGCTGCCATCGTCAAACAAAAAATCGAAAACATTCTACAGTTCCCCAAATTGGCCACATAAATCACGCATCTGACAGAAGGACTCGCTCGTCATTCATAGCCACTCACGCTGCCAGGTCAGTTCCGGCGCCTCCACCAGTTCATGACCATGCCCGCGAGGCTTCCCGACGCTCGCGTCGAAGGTATTGTAGTGAGTCTCCAGACTGTCGCCAATTTTAGCGAACTCCTGCGCCAGCTCTTCACTTGGGAACGGCGCTCTGCCACCCCTGGCTGCATCGCCCAATGAATGGCCGTTCTTGATTATTGAATCATTGTAAAGCACTTAGATGGCCAGCGCGGCGGCGCCCCCTGGCCGCTGGTCCCAAACCAAGCGGCCATCATATTAATGCGCTCTCGCAACTGCAGATCGGGCGCGCTATTGATGCATGCCTCGGGGGCGCCACCAATGCCCACTTCGCGCACCGGACGGGGAGTGCGCATGGAGACACGAGACCAGGGCAACCATCGACGCCGTCGGGGGAATTCGCCTGATTGGCCTTCGCAAATTTTACCCACTCGCCGCGCTCTTCCCTGCGGTGACCCATTAATGCGCAACGCCACTCTAGCGGGCCTGTGCGCGGCAAGCACTGCCATGAAGCACCGTGCGCGAGGCCTGGTAATTGCTGCGGCGCGTCTTCCAGCTCGCGCGCCTCGCGGCCAGCCCAACCTTTGATTTGGTCGCCCCGTCGCCTCCTGGCCCCTTCCGTCAGGTGCAAGGCCCCAGCGGGGGGCCCCCTGAAAATGGGCACCGCGGCAGAAATGGATCGCCCCGCGCCTCGACAAGGCGCCCGCGAGGTGACGTCGAAAAAGGCGCGATGAGCACGCGCTCGCGCAGCCCCGCCCACTGGCCCCAGCGACTGGAGCGGCGGCTGACGCGGCGAAGGAGCCCGAGGGGGAACTCCGAGACAGACGAGGCTGACCCTGACTCGTCCGCGGGCGCGACGTCCTAAGCCCTTCTTGTCGCCATCCTCGCCCTCGCTTGCGCCCCCCTCTGATTCTGGCGCCGGGCCCGGCGGCTCCGCGGGCAAACCCTGCCCTGAGCTTCCCTTTCGCCTGCCCGGCCTCGACTCGTCTTGCCAGCGCTGCCCCCGGCCCCCCCCGCGCGGAGGTCGGGGCCGGCCGGCGAAGTCCTCGCGGGCCCGGGCCCCCGAGCCACCCCCGGGAGGCCGCCGAACCGGGGCGCGCTCGACGATTGAGAGGGGCCGCCCTGAATGGCAACCTCCCCTTCGGGCACGGCCCCGGCGTCTGCAGGGCCCCCCGCGCTTGCGCAGAGCGCGGGCAGGCGGCGAACCGCCCGGGCTCTGACTGCGCATGCCTGCAAAGCCTGCAAAGACCACTCCCGAACGACGGGCAAACGCGCGAAGCAGCTAAGAAGCACCGAGGCAGGATGGCCCAAGCATCAGAATATATATATATATATATAGAGAGAGAGAGAGAGAGAGAGAGAGAGAGAGAGAGAGAGAGAGAGAGGCTGACGAGCCGAGATGCAGAGGCCTAAGGACAGAGACAGCCACTGCAACAGCCACGCAGGCCGAGGCCAAGCAATGACAACACAACAAGGAAGAACATAAAATGAAGAAACTCAAATGCGCGAATCAACGTTGTATCGGCGACGCCAAAAAGAGAACGACTACACCTGGAGTCGAACGGAGCTGTAACATGATGCACGGTGGAATATGGAACGGCGCGCTGAGAACACCAGAATGGCGCCAATCGCACGGCCGCGATTCCGCGTCGAAAATGCACAAATGAATTAACGTGAAAGACGCCGCAACAGAATACAAATACTCCAAACCAATACTACTGAGACCCTCAGACCCTGAGCCTTCCATCACAAAGAATGATGTGTCTGCGTGGCACAGGCGCGTCGCGACTTGGATTTCAAGGCAACAGCAATGCGTGTCCATGCGTGGGGCCTCGCGCACGTTGGCGAGGCCCTCCACGGCGCAAGCACCTAAAACGATCGTACATATCTCCATGCCTACAGGATGAAGTGAAGACCAACGTGCGTGTACAGACTGCCTGTAGCACGGATGGCTGTCAATGAGAGCGCGCAACTTGGGCTCGTACTTTCCCAATGACTTTAAATATTCAGGGACGGTGCCTCTTCTCTGCAACATAGCAGCATGCCAAGATCCTCTAGAAAGCCAGGCAATACGCCATCGCCAATCAGCTGCGCAAGAAGACTCTCCAATCGTAGGTCGACATCCCCTCCATCCCCATCCTCAACGTTAGGGATCTCCGCAAATCCCGCAGGGATTTGCGCGGTGTCCTCGGAACTGCTCCATTGGCACGGCTCGACATTGGAGCTATTCTCGCTAAAAGAAATGATAATGATGCAGAAACATGTCTAGAGTGCTCCTCCTCCTCACGCGCCCCCCCCCCCCCCCACCACCACCACCGCCACCGCCACCCCGCCCCGCCCGCTCTTCATCCATATCGCCGCGCAACTTCTGCGTCCGCCTCACGGGTCCCCCAAGGGCAGCCCCCTGCCCCGATCCACAATCCCTCTCGCAAGCGTCTGAATGCCAACATATTCCTGCGCGCCCGAATCTGCCTGGGCGACAACTTGGGGGCCATCCGAAGCTGCAAAGGTTACTCGTGGACCTGGCGACGGCCACTTCGGCCGCGGCTGAGAATATGCGACAGAAGCAGCCCGTGTTCTGGGAGCGCGCAGCCGACTTGCAACAACCCCAAAACTGCGAGAACTTGAATCGACACCAACATCGGTCTGAACACAGGCACCCGTCTAGACACCAACATCTGCCTGCGTACCAGATTCTTTGCAAGCACAAACCCGTGCCCGAGGGCGATCGCACCTTTTCACCCCATCGCGCAACATCCCCAGGGCGTCTTCGGCACCCCGACAATCTGGCGCAGAGATCGGCGGCGACAGCTGCGTTGGGCGCAGCGTGGCCGGCCTATCGCCCTGAGCATGCCTGAGAACATCCCCATCACTAATTTCTTCTACTTCTGGGTCTACCCCGCAGGCGTTTCTAACTCACCCGGGCGCTATAGTACCAGGCATCGAACAGGCGGCGGGAATTCAG